AGTCCAACCTGTCAGTCAGAATGGATCTGTAGTAAGGCAGGATTTCAGTGTCCATAGGTCTGTCCATTAGTCTGTCCGTCCATCCATCCATCCATCCCCACACCATGCCCTCTACACTGAGCTATTGGGATTTCTCTTTCCCCCTTCCCCATCTCATCTTCCTCCTGTCTAGGCTGGCCAGTGCCATGTTGAGCTGCGAACAGCTGAGTGGGTGTCTCAAGGACCCTGTCGATTTGTTTTCTTACTGGTCCCAAGTGATCTAAGATGATCTCTTAACTTCAGAAGATCCTGTCTCTAAAGAACGTTCACAGTTTGGATTCCTGTATTTATGCTTTCTCCCTTTCTGCAGTTTCTCTCCCTCTGCATCTTCTCCCCTAGCAAGTACATGTCCTCAGAAGCAGCCAGTCTTCACCAAACACAGTGGTGAAGTTCTGATGCTGAGTGCCGTGGCCTGCCCCAGAAAGCACTGGGATTGGGATCTCACTGAGAGACCCGATGGATAAAAAGGAAGAGCTTGCAAAGGATGCAGATACATTCTTTCTCTCATGTCTCCCTGAAGAATAAAGGACATTTTCATGGTTCCAGACCAGGCTTAACATTTCAGTTTAGGCTCATTAAAAAGGTGGAAGTGGATGATAAAATTACAGAAATTTTTACCTGAGAGTATGTCACCATCAGCCCTGTTGGAATGAGGCACTACTTTCAACAGTAAAATTTTGTCATGTGTGATCCTGAGAAAATGTTCAAATATACTGACCAGAGATCTATAATCCCAACAGTTTGCTCAATGAAATTACAAGAGGAAGGACTCTTTTTTTTTTTTTTTTTTTTTTTTTTTTTTTTTTTTGCTTCTTGGGAGATGTTTTTTTTTTTTTTCAGATTTTTTTATTTGAATTAGAAACAAGATTGTTTTACATGACAATCCCAGTTCCTTTCTCCCTCCTGTCCTCCCCTACAACCCCCCCCCAACTAAAACCCTACCTGTGACATATCCTTTCTGTTCCCCCTGGATGGTGAGGCCTTCCATCGTATCCTTTGGGATAGGGCCTAGGCCCACCCTTGTGTGTCTTGGCTCAGGTAGTATTCCTCTATATGGAATGGGCTCCCAAAGTCCACACCTACGCTAGGAATAAGTACTGAACTAATACAGGAGGTCCCGTAGATTTCCGAGATCTCACTGAAACCCATGTTCCTGGGTTCTGGATCAGTCCTATGCGGGTATCCCAGCTATCAGTCTGGGGAACAAGAGTTCCCCAATGTTCAGGTCAGCTGTTTCTGTGGTTTTCACCAGCCTGGTCTGGACCCCTTTGCTCTTCACTCCTCCTTCTCTGCATCTGGATTCCATTCAGTTCAGTGATTAGTTGTGGGTGTCTGCTTCTACTTCCACCAGCTGTTGGATGAAGGCTATACGATGTCATATGAATTAGTCATCAATCTCATTATCAGGAGAGGGCATTTAAGGTAGCCTCTACTCTGTTGCTTAGATTGTTGGTTGGTATCATCTTTGTAGATCTCCAGACATTTCCCTAGTAGTGCCTGATTTCTCTGTAAATCTAAAATGTTTCCCTCTATTATGGTATCTCCATTCTTGTTATCTTCTATTCTTTGCCTGACTCAACCTTTCTGCTCCCTTATGTCCTCTGCATCCCTCCTCTTCTCCCCTTCTCATTCTCCTAGCTCCTTCCCCCTTCTTCCCGTGCTCCCAATTTGCTCAGGGGATCTTGACCCTTTCCCCTTCTCCAGGGGAACCATGTATGTCTCTCTTAGGGTCCTCCTTGTTTACTAGCTTCTCTGGCAGTGTGGATTGTAGGCTGGTAATCCTTTACTCCATGTCTAAAATCTGCATATGAGTGAGTACATATCATGTTTGTCTTATTGTCTTATTGGGTTACCTCGCTCAGAATGGTTTCTTCTAGTTCCATCCATTTTCCTGCAAATTTCAAGATTCCATTGTTTTGTTTTGTTTTGTTTCCACTGAGTAGTACTCCATTGTGTAAATGTACCACATTTTCTCTATCCATTCTTTGGTTGAGGGGCATCTAGGCTGCTTTCAGTTTCTGGCTATTAAAAATAGTGCTGCTATGAACATCGTTGAACATATGTCCTTGTTGTATGAATGTGCTTCTTTAGGGTATATGCCCAAGAGTAGAATTGCTGGATCTTGTGGTAGACTGATTCCCATTTTCTTGAGGAGTCACCATACTTACTGATTGAGGAAGGACTCTTATAGGTTGAGGACTGTATAGAAGAGAGGCAGGGACATGAGGTGGCAAGACGAGGTTTTTCTGTGTAGCCAGCCCCAGTTCTTCTGGAACTTCACTCGGTAGGCCACGCTGGTATGGAACTCAAGAGTTCTGCCTGCCTCTGCCTCATCAGAGCTGGGATTGAAGGCATGTGCCACCACAGGCCTAAGGATGAGGATTTTTTTTAAGTTGGCATATATTTATTTTACATAGTGATAGGTTTCATAAGGTGTTTTCATTCAACTGTATCATGTGATTTGGATATATTTACCCCTGCCCCCCATGCCCTTCCTTTATCCAGTCATCCCCCACACACACACACACACACACAGGGTTTCTCTGTGTAGCCTTGCCCATCTTGGAACTCAGTCTGTAGACCAGACTGATCTCACACAGATATGCTGGGATTAAAGGTATACACCAACACCACCCAGCTTTATCCAGCTATTGCTCCTGTTTTCAAGTCACACACACATGTACACATTCATACACTTGAATATGAATGATTTCATATATGTATATGAGATCTGGGAACCACATATTAGAGAAAACCAAAACTGAGTTTGTTTTATTTCACTTAATATGGTGATGTCCACATTCCTGCCTTTTTCCTGCAAATGATAGACTTTATGATTGGCTAAAACCCATACACATACACACACACCAGATTTTTCTTCATCCATTCAGATGCCAATAGGCACCTGGTTGAGTCCACAATATGGCTGTCATCATGAGCAATGTCTCTAGTATGCTGACCCAGATTCCACTGGGTAGCTTTGAAGTCACTCCCTGGATTCCAGGCTCTGCTGTTCTCATTGGGTAACTGGAGAAATGACTTGTGCTTTGCATTTCCTTCTGCTGTAAAATGATGGGTGATAGAAGTATTCATTGCCCCACACAGTTCCTGTGACTAGATGAAATGGTACATGCAAAACAATTGGCCTGGTTTTTGACATACAGTAAGCAGTCAAGTGGTTTTAGCTATTATTGTTGACAGGGAAACTAGGGATAGAAAGATGAATAGGCTTCCTAGAGGTTGCCTTTGTTTACTACTAGGTCATTGGATTTTCCTCTCGGGAAAAGCAGGCAATAAAGCCTATTTCTGTTCAAATATTGGCAGTTTGTTGATGCAGAAAGAACACCTGGACTTTCCCATTGATCACTAATTGATGGAAGGAAGTTTCCTGAGTTCTCTTCTAATTGTTTTCTTTCTTTTTACAGATACCAAAAAGCAAACCTGCATATTAAAAATAATCTCTCTATGTCATTAGTATATTGGGTAAAGTACTTTCTAACTGAAAAGTGGCAGGGGCCCTGCTTTCTGCTCATACACCTTGCAAACTTTCCCATGAGCGCTTTCAAAGAAAGCCCCTATTACTGGTGTGAGGCAGTTGCTTGTTCCTCAGTCCCCTCCCCATTGGCCCAGTTTATATGTACTGTGAGTCAAACCTCTTAATGACTTTCTGTTATTGGGTCCAGAGTTTAAGATTTTTAAAACCATTCATTCAGAGGAAATTAATAGTCTGAAAGTTTCAGAGGGAGCATTTAAGCAAAAAGGAACTTAACTTAAGCACATTGGGAAGATACATTTACATCTAAACAGCGTAATTACCAACTTAGCTATAGGCCCGGATGAGTCGTGCTGTATCATTCTGATCTGTTTGGGGGGAGGGGGGTTGCTACCTCACATGACCTCTTCCTGCCTATGCACTCTGAAAATGTCAGACCTTTGTAAACTGAACACTTTAAACATGTACACCAGATGCCACAGAAACTAGGTTCAGTGTCTTTTTGAAGTGTTCAGCAGACCTGTACTAAGTAATTTCATCTGCCTGGCCAGTGAAACACATGTGTGGGGAAAGGGATTAGATGTTTCTAGGTAAGAGTTGCATTGCACCTCAGTTACTAGGAAGCATGCGGTGGTAGCCAAGTGTATAATATCCAGTCCCAGCTTTGGGTGCTGAGCCTGTGGTAGGTAGTGAGCCAGGCTGAGCTCCATCTTCAGGAACTTCCCTGGGGTTCTGGAAAAAGCCTCAAGTATTAGAAGAAAACCAAAAAAAAAAAAAGACTGAATGTTTAAATTCCATTGTTCGTTTAACATAATATACAACCAGGATATGCCAGATTATGTTGTGGGCACCAGAGATACGTAAGTGAACAAAATAGAGAAAAGAATCCTACCATCATGGCTCTTGTACTCTATTAAGAGATAGAAAGAAATACATTTTATGTGGTTAGAAGGTCATAAGTATGAAACAAAAGGTGGTCAAAAGAAACGCTGATCCAGGGAGATAGGGACATTACTGGTTGGGGTACAGACACTGCTGTTGGGCTCCTGTCTGATACGTTCTTGGTAAGTTAAGAATGCTCGGAGTTGGCCTGGAGAGATGGCTCAGAGGTTGGGAGCATTTGCTGTTCTTCCAGAGGTCCTAAGTTCAATTCCCAGCAACCACATGGCAGCTTCCATGCATGCAAACAGAACACTGTATATAAAATAAATAAATAAATCTTCAAAAAAAAATGCTGGGAATTGAAAGTGTAATTAAATGTACCTAAGCTGCACAGTGCCAGGGAAAGTGTGAGTTGTAGAGTTGTGTCTTGTGATCAGCTGCATTCCTGCAGCATAGAGGGAGGGAGGTTGGTTCTGCATGTTACCAGCTGGAGAAGTGTCAAAAGTCAAACCTTGAAACATGGTTTTACTTACTGTATATCAATTTTACATCACAGGTTTTTTTTTTTTTTTTTTTTTTTTTTTAGTCAGATTGTCTACAGTGCAATTAGACAGGCCTCATTGAGAAGGTAACGTGAAGGAGCCATGCAGAAGTTCTGAACAGAGCATTCCAGCAAGGGGTGGTGATGGCTCAGATGGAACATGTCTGAGGATAGTGAGCAAAGAGAAGACTAGTGGAACTTGGAGAACTTTGGTGACTGTCAGGTAGGGCCAGCCCCAGCCATTAGAAGGACTTTGGTTTTTACTCTGAGTGAAGTGGGGGCCATGAGGGTTTTGAGAAGGGGGGGTTGGGGGTGGGGGTGCTTTGACCTGTGTCTTGATAGAATTACTGACTGTTGTGGAGGAAATGCAGGAGTGGTCAAAGGTAGAAATGGGGGTGCCAGTTAGCAGCTGTTGTAAGTAATCTGCCTGAAAGATGACAGAGAGGAAGTGGGGAGAAATAGGCAAGAAATCTGTGAAGAAACAGCATTTTCTGATCATCTAAGCCCTGAGACCAGGCTGTCTGGCAACACCTAAGCATTTTGCTTCATTGTACCAGTGACTGAGATGGGCTGGGTTCCCGGAAGCTGTTTTGACTGACTTCCAAGTGGAGAAGCTGAGGAGGAAGGAGGGTTGGCTGTGGAATCTGGAGTCCAGGGAATGGGTCCAGAGTTTGGAAGTTGCCCACAGAATGTGCATAAGATAACTTGTACAGACAGAGAAAGGCCCATGAGCAAAGCTATGGGGCAGATAGATAAGAATTTGTAGTTGGTGGAGGAGAAACCAATAGTCCAAGGAAGGCGTTTAAGCCGAGGAACTTATACATTTCCAATGGAGTGAGCCCTTCCTTGAGTATTTGATGTTGTTACTAACACTATTGTCCACACCATGGGCAGAAGAGTTGTTTTTCTGACTGTGGTGATATGCAAGGTTAATCCTGGGTCAATTTATCAACAGACTTGAATCTAGAATGAACGACCAGAAGGATAGCAGGGAATGGCCCTGAAGTCAGGTAGATGTCTCCAAGAATAGAGTGTGAATGAGTGGTGTCACTGTTGCTCAGAGATCAAGCAGAGTGAGGTTGGAGAGTCATTCTTTGGGCTCGTGAAATCATTCTAGACCAAGGCAAAAGCTGTGGTGATAGCAAGGGTAGGGACAAAAACCCAGTTGGAGAGAGTTACAAGAGAATGAAAAGTTTATGAAAGGTAACTTTGTGATTCTGCTGCTTATAAACATTTAATATTGGTTGTGTATATTTTAATATGGGGCAGTATTTCAGAAATGGGATTGTTGGAAGCCATGGGGGCTTCAGTGGGCTCTGACAGGTACCTTTAAGCTACCCTCCCACCCCCACCCCCAGTTATTGTTAGTAAGACTCTGGTACACAGATGATATGTAGTCTATTTTGAAATAAGAAAACCATTCTGATGCAGTTTTGAAGTTCCAAATTGAATGCCTTTGGCTAAAAACTGTATCCTGAAAGCACTTTGCATGAGTATTTTGCCTGTGTAGTGATCTGTTCCTGAATTCATCGTATGAGTTCTTTTATAGGAAAGAGAGATGTGTGCTTTGAGGTAGTGTTTTCTGAAATAGCGGTAGGTTTAGGGTGTCCAGGCTATGCATAGGGCCCACTTTGGAAGTCCTCATTCACAGAGTAGATTAGGATTAAGGGTTTTCAAGAGTCAAGACAAATAATAAAATTCTCTTTCGTGTTTGTTCTATGCTTTGTTAATGGTTTTCATCATGATCATTATTTCTAAGCATGTGATTAAGCAATTTTTGTAGTTCTGTATTTTATATCATAATTGGACACCAAGAATTTTCCCTTCCTGGAATTATGTTTGGATTATAATGCTAATTTATGTAATACTGACATAAAAATGAATAAACACGACTGTGATACTAATTATCTTTCTCTAAGCATATTAAAACACCGACACTTAAGCTTTGACTATGCAAGAATGGTTTTTGATGCATTAAAAGCTTACAAGTGATTGGGAGAATTAAGACTTTGTTACACGTATTTGACTATTGTTTGGTAATAAAAAGATTCTTTAGAAAGTCACTAATTATGGAGAAATGCTGGAAAGGGCAGAGACTTCATTGGCAGTGGGTTATGGCACATGGTTTTTGAATAGTGGAGCGCCTACTGCTTATAGCCTATTTCCAGTGGACTGTGGTTTATGTCAACATTCTTGGGCACTGCTCTGTCAACACCTTTTTATTATCATTTTGCATGTTTTTTCAGCTGACGCTTGCAAGCCACTCCACAGTTAGTTAGATGGTTATAATTGAGTTGTAGCAGGGAAACACAGGCCAGTGTGAAAGGGTTCTGCAGTGCCGTGTTTTCTATGGTAGATGCTGTGGTGTGCTGAACTTTAAGCAGATTTTGAAATCAGTGTTGAGTCTCTTCTTTCAGGGACTGTAGGATGCTATCCAGATTTCTTAGCATGGGATTTTTCATGCCAAACCAAAGTTGTGTGCCTGAGGCCCACCAGCAAGATTGGCAGCAGACATAATTTAGCTTTTAACACATTTATTTGCCAGCATTTAAAACTTGGGAAATTTTGACATTTTAAGAATTGTGTTTTATACTTGCCCTTGAAGAGTCAGAACCCCTGGCAGTGACCTTCTTTGTGTGGGCATGTGCTCTGCAGCCCAACAGAGAGCCAGTATCCACATCACTAGAGTTGGGCTGCTTGGTCTCACTGTAGCTTGCTTCATCCAGTAGGCTGTGCGTTTGATGGACGTGTGCTGTGGCTAGTTATTTTTTCCCAGTGTCATTTCAAAGCATCTTCCGTCTAAGTTAAATTGTCTTCTCCATCATTCTGTGTGGCACTTAACATCATACTTCCTCTTCTGGGATCTCCTTCCAGAATCTAGGCTCTGTTCCATTTCTCCTCACAGCTGAAACATGGCACCAGGCACCTGGCACTTTGTACAGTCATCTTTGCATGAGTTACCTAGATCACCCCAGTCTCCTCATTCATTTCTTGAAAGTGAAGACCATATAATTTACTAGTACCAAGACAGTTTATTTTAGATTTACTAGATTAGCTATTTTGATTTAGTTTCTAGTGCATACATAGTACTCTATAATTACAGTGATGGTATAGAACTAGAAAAGAGCAGTGTTATGTAAAATCTCCTCAGATTGTACTTTCTAGATATATTATTCCCAACCCTTTGCCATAGCATTTGCATAATCTGCTTGAGTATTCATTTACTAATACTTGGGTTACCTTCAGTATTCTGTGCTATTGTGTAGGTATTAGTGGTTACCTTCGATATTCTGTGCTGTTGTGTGGATGTGTAGCCTTTCCAGATTAATGAGTCATTACTGCTTACCAGCTTGGGGAGGTGTATGTTTCATCTTAATGATGAGCACTTTGAAAAGTCCAAGTTTTTTCATTCATTCGACAAATAATGTGTACATTATAGTGTCCACTCCTTAAAATCTTACATTGTTATTCTAGCTAAAAAGCTGGATTACCTTTTTTTTTTTTTTTTTTTTTTTGACTTTTGGAGATGGGTTTTTCTGTGTAGACCTGACTGTCTTGGAACTCACTCTGTAGACAAGGTTGGCCTCAGACAGCCTCCTGCCTCTGCCCCCTGAGGTTTTTTGTTTGTTTGTTTTTAAAGACAGGGTCTTGACAGGCGGTGGTGGCACACGCCTTTAATCCCAGCACTTGGGAGGCAGAGGCAGGTGGATCTCTGTGAGTTCGAGACCAGCCTGGTCTACAAGAGCTAGTTCCAGGACAGCCTCCAAAGCCACAGAGAAACCCTGTCTCAAAAAACCAAAAAATAAAAAAATAAAAAAATAAAAAATAAAGATAGGGTCTCATTGTGCATCCCTGGCTAGCCTGGAACTCACTATGTAGACCAGGTTAACCTTGAACTCACAAGTCATCCACCTGCATGAGTATTGGGGAGGCTAAATGTGTGTACCACCATGACTGGTCCTGAAAGGTAGATTTTTTTTGTTGTTTGTTTTCTAAGATAGGGTTTCTCCGACGCTTTGGAGCCTGTCCTGGAACTAGCTCTATAAACCAGGCTGGCCTAGAATTCACAGAGGCCTGTCTTTGCCTCCCAAATGTACCACTGCTGGGCTAGAAAGGTAAATTTTAAATACTAGAATACATAATGAAAATTATTGCAATAAGTATACAACAAACCTGGGTGGTGGTGGCACACACCTTTAATCTCAGCACTCAGGAGGCAGAAGCAGAGGGATGGATCTCTGTGAGTTTGAGGCTGGCCTGGTGTACAGAGCAAGTTTCAGGACAGCCAGAGCTATTGCACAGAGAAACCCTGTCTCAAAACAACAACAAAAAAAGTATACATCAGGATCTTAGTAGAGATTGCTTTAAATGTTTGGGAGGGGGCAAAAGGAGGGGGTATGACAGTGACCAGGTTCTGAAGTCCTTTGTCTTCCCGTCTGTTCTCCAACAGAAGATTTTAAAATAATCATAATATAAAAATATAGCCTTTGGGGAAAAAAATGAATGAAGATTTAACTAAAAACAGGGGGTGGGATGAGACTGTTCAAAAAAGGAAAAACAATTTTCCAAAGAGTTTTCTTTAGCGGTTGTGATTGCAGTAGTGTTAAAGGGAGAAAAAAAAAAAAAAAAAAAAACCTAGAAATTGTTTGATGATTGAGTCTGTTTTCAAGAGCAAATAAAGAACAAAGGGGAAGTTAGGCTTAATTTCATAAAAATAACTTATTTTATGAAACTATTAACTGTTTGAAAGATATTAACAGTAAGGTCTTTTCTCATTGCTCTCAGAAGGAAGCAATAAAAATAAATGAACACTCCTCCCCTATGAGAAGTGGGTAGCACCTTTATTTAATGGTTCCAAGCTCATAACTGAAAAATAACGCTATTTCTCCATCTGATTTCTTTAGGAAATATTATCTTGGGAAAAGACTGAGCTGTGGAGTCAATGATCTTTGTACAGAAGATACACACCAGTCTCTGGGTTTGCATAGATTCCATCACCAAAACCAGAAATGGCTCATGTTTTCCTTCCAAAAAATTATTTTAACCAAACCTATCTAAATACTATGTTAAAGTTCTTTCTTTCTGCCTTTCTTTCTTTCTTTCTCTCTTTCTTTCTTTCCTTTTTTCATAGTAAAGTCAGCTTCAAGGTGCCAGTTTGAAGTTTTTGTTAAGGAATTCAAGTTACTTAATAGAGATTTTTTTAAATGGACAGATTTTAGGGAG